GGTTGTTTTTTTGAGTTGCATATGCATGTGTGTGTGTATATATATGCATGCATATGTGTATATATATATATGCATGCATGAAAGATGTAGCCCTGACTTCGCAGCTCTAAAAGTGGAATTGTAATGTATTACTCTGCAGACTTCTGAGTAGCACTATTTTTGTAATAATAATGAAAAAAGGATGAAAAGAAAGGCGGAAGCGGATGGGAGGAGGCACCACCCTTAGCCCTCACTGTCATTCCTGCCCTTTTATAAGACCAAGTGGTGGCTTTAAGTTGAAACGTACTTGCTGTTTCTGTAGAAGCAGAAGTTTCTTGGTTCAACGTCCCGGATCTTTTCCTTTTGTATTGAATAGAAATCGCTATAAGCTGTTGGTACTATTAAAAGTTATATCTATACAAATAAGTAACAAAACTATTTCCAACGTGATTTCTAACTCCCACCTCTTCCCCAGTTTTGAGTTTTCTGCGCTTCCTTTCCTCCCTTCCCCTAGAAAGATTTTCTGTAGGTAAAATGAGATGTGCAGTTTTGGGTATTTGCATGTTTTTCATTTAGAAAATTGACATTTTATCAGGGTTGATGGCTGAGGAAAATTGCCTATGTGGAAATGGTAACTAATGTCAGGGTGACCGATGGTAGCTTTCTGCAAGGTTCCAGGTTGTTCCCATCCCTGCTGGTGCATTCACCACAAGAGGGCAGTCTTCCTGTCCTAAGGTAGTGCTGCTGCTTCTTAGACACCGGGGAGTTTATTACTATTGGCAGTGAGCTGAGCAGAACGGTTTCTTTGGTGTTCAAATCAAGAAAAACGGCGCCTTCCTGATTTGTGAAGGACTACTAATATTACAGGGCTGACTGGTTTCTTTAGGACTGACCAAACAGTTCAAGAAAAATAGGAGCTTTTTCAAACACAGTCAGGTCTGCTGAAGCAATAGTAAAGTCATTGGTGGAGGGAAGATGAGTGTGTCAGTTCTGGAAGCTAAGCTATTTTGTATCCCAGAGGTATGAATATGCTGATATTTGGTAGGCCTCCAACGCCTGCAACCCAGAAAAGGACATGCCTATTTATTTTCCTTGTTGGAGTCATCTTCTCGTTTCTGTGCATTGCGTCCAACAGCCTAGATTTATAATTCAATCTGTGTCTATTTGTTTCTTGACAGAAGAGGATGAAATAATAGCGAGGCTCTGTTTTCTTTATAGCTAGGAATAGGTAGCTATGGTTTACCATCAGTGTAAACTGTACAGGGTTTTGTGACGTTTCAGATGAATGATGCTACTGCTACATGAAAGTAAATTGCAGTGTCCTGGAGTGAGTCCCAGGTTATTCTGCTGTTCTTGCAGCAGTTCATTTCTGTAGCAGTGTACTTAGAGAAGTACATCAGGCCAGAGTCTTCTTTTTTGCTATCACCAGGAGTCACTGTGGCAGAGACAGTGGAAGTGGTCATATTCAAAATTGGTGCAGATCTAGTGGATGTTAGAACCTCTTTTGAGAGTTTTAGAGTTCAGAATTGGGAAGCCTCAACGGCTGCATGCTTATTCTAGTGGGGTGCATGACATACAATAAATCACTGACCCACTCAGAGCTCCAGTTCAGCTGATCAAAGGAAGGACCATCTTTGAGCACAAGGTCAGTATTTCATCCCTCAAATGAGACTGCAGTTAAACAGCAGATCCTTCTTTGCCTTACTCTAGTATGTGCCACAGGGGTGAATTTGACCTGTGAGTTATCTCTGCATAAATCTGATAATTCCATAATTAATTAGGTAACTGGAAACGAGACAAAGTGAATCTAAGTGTTTTTCTTATCTTTTTTCTGCATTCTATTGCGTCTTCTGTCTTTTCTGAACTTTCTGAAGTACAAGGGACAAGCAGGTCGAAAGTGGGAAGAAAATTAAAAGCGCTTGGCCTGGTGCCTGCCTTTACACTGTGTTGATTAGGTTTTAACTGGCAATTCTTGTCTGTAATATAAGATAATTGCAGAGATTTCTAGGAATTGTTTGTAGAATAGGAAGAAACAGGCACATCTGAGTTCTACTGGAGGAGTTTAATTAAAGACTTTATAAAGTGCAACAGATGGTGCTTTGCTAGTTAAGACGACAGGCGTGAGGTCTCTTTGTAGACATTGAGCCATGATGGTTAGAGCTTCTGCTCCCTGCTGGCTAGAGGTGCTCTGACATAATCTTCCATTAGGGGACTTGAACAATTCCAAAATAACATGCACTTTATGTTCTGGTCCAAAGTGTGACGATCGTTCTTCAGAAAGGGAAGTTAGGCAGCCATAGGGTGAAATTCCTTGTGTGTGTGGCAGGACTACCCTTCCCAACAGGAGCTTTGCTTTCACTGACCTCTGCAGTTGTCCTCAACTCCCTTCTGAAAGGCTTGCAGAAGTGAGAAGGCACGTCAGTAGGTGTACAGTGCATAGACACTCCAGTGGCATGGAGGAAGAAGGATCTATTTGGTTTTCAGACAGCAGTGCTCCCCAATAAGTTCATGTGAGCCAACAACCAACCTTGGACTGGCTCCTGGACTGGAATTATGTCAGTGTGAAACTTGGAACACAGAAGAGCTTCCCCCCTCCCCCCCTCCTAGTGCTGGTAATCAAACTATTTCCAAAGCCCTCATCGGTCTCTGGCTTCCAGGAAGTTACAAGGAAAGTGGAACAAAGAGAGGGTGTTGTAACTTACAGAGAAAAAAATATCTTGTCTTTGTAGTCTTTATTGGAGCAGGTACTGAACCTAGTGTTTTTCATGTTACCTCCAAAAGCGTGAGAGTATGTTGAAAAAGAAAAATTCTGTTCTGAAGTTGCACATTCATGAAATGGTTTCACGATACAATCTGATTGTTTACTATTGCAGTAGAATTATGATTTCTGTTTGCTCCTTAGCTAGTGGATAGTGGATGATGCAAGGGAGAATCCTGTTTTATGAAGAGTTCATCTTGGTTTTTAAATTCCAGGAAGAACCTAAAATTGCAGAACAAATAGCTGGCAACCAGGGAGTATTTCACCTAGATGTTAAAAAAAAAAAGAAGAAATTTGTGACCATGCGGGGTCCTTTTCATGGGGTCATCTTGTTGAGCAGCTAGACAGATCTGCAAGATGGTAAGTATACTTTCAAGCTCCCTGCCTAGCAGATGCTTGAAAGGTATACATTATCTCATGTTTAAATGAGTTTTCTCACTTTTTAGCATCGGTAATGCTGCAAGGGAGTTTCCATGGGATTAACTCTTTGGCCATCTTTTCTTTCTGCAGTTCGGTGTTCATTTCACTTCAGGCCGTATTGGAAAGCGATTACCTGGAAGGGATTTGGTTACACTGGGCTTCAACAAAGGCAACACCAGATGCTCAAGGAACATTTTAAACATAAATTCTGAGCTTTTTTTTTTTTTTTTTTTTAAGAACTGTTTACTAGCCCCTATGGCTAATGCTTGGAGTTGGCTGATTTTGCTCTCTAGCCTTAGGATTTGCCTGAGAGGTGAGTGGGTAACTTTCTCATAGAGACAGACTTCTTTTTGGGTTTGGTTTGGTTTTTGGTTTTTTTTGTAATTAGTGCTGATACTGTTACCTTCTAAAAGCTATAAGATGTTAGAGATGGCAGTTGTTTAGCTCATTCTGGTCATAAACTGATGAGTGTGGCTGCCTTTCTTTCAAAAGCACGGTCTTTTTTAGGAATTCATTCAGGGGAGAAGACAGGTAGAGAAGGGAGGGTTGCATTCACCAGGAGGTTTTAATTTTCTAACAACAGAAAAAAAAGAGTGCATCAGTGTTTTCAGGTAACAGTAATAATAATATCGGGGTGCTTATTTGAGTGTGGAACAGATGGGGAAAAAAAAGCCTGGAACTCTGCTCTCCGCCTGCTCATTTTTTGTTGCTCTGGCACAGGCACACAGAGAAGCCCTTCGTGAGGAACTGCATGTGAAATCCTTGCAGTTACCATAGTGAAGCTCACTTTTCAAAAAAAAAAAAAAAAAAAAAAGACTTTATTAGGACAGTGGTGTACTAGAATCTAAATCTGATACGCTTGCAAAATGAAAGTGAGAAAAAGCAAAAAGGGAAAGAGTAACTCGGTGTTTGTTCTATTCTTTAAGTTCAGTTTCAGGTACCTTACTCTTTGTCGAGTATTTATCGCCTTTCTCTTATAGAACATGATGTGAAGAGACTTCCTAAAGAGGGATGGGTAAAATTGCCTTTACTGTGTAGCCTGGATAACTGAAGTAGAGAAAGAAGAAGTATCTTGGTTGAGATTACACAGCAGTACAGTACCTCCTTCATCCCTTGGCTCTTTCCATCAGACTGTGCTGTTTGCACTCTCTTGAAAACTTAGGTCTTCAACTTTCTGGTAAACAAAATGTGACCTTTTCAAACGATGATATCAAGACATGGAAAAGGCTCTCTGCTGCCTACAGAGGGTAGTTGGTTTAGTTTGATAAAGCGTCTGAAATTGGGATTTCCCCCAGAATTTTGTGCTCAGAGTATTTACCTAGAAATCTTAAAGGAACAGATTTTCATTCTGGAAGAGAAATCTTTCTTTAATTTTAACCACCAAAACTTAAGAATTAATGTGATAAAGGACAGGGAAATAGTGTTGATGAATGGAAAACGCAGGAAGTCAGGTTTATTTCCAGTTTTGGTGCACTCTGTGGCTTTGAGAAGTCAGCTAGTTCATGTAACTGTAACAGGAATAATGATAACAAGGAGTTTATTTGACTCTGGAACATGAGATTTTTTGGTTCTTAACAAGACGGGCTTAGAGTATTTCCTGTTTCTTTTTTGGTCACTACACTGCTGGGATGCTGTGTCCCATTCATAAATACCACTTTTCTATAAAGGCAAAGCATTGTTCTTAATAGTAAAAATGATTGTATTAATAGTACTAGTGCTATTAACACCAGTGACAAAATTGTGCAGATGTTACATTATGGTGTAATAATAACTGGTCGTTTAACTTGGAGTCTTGAATTTTTGTTCATTGTACCTTAAATTTATTTTTTTTGTTTTCTTTTAGGGACCTCTTCTCTCTCGCCAGATTGCGGCATAGACTGCCAGACCTACTGTCTCATAGACTGCAGACAGGGACATTACTACACAGCTGGCAACTGCTTGGAATGTCCAACGGGTTTCTAGTAAGCCTCCTTCCTTCCCTTCTCCTCGGCAATTATGGTCCTGCAATAAAAAAGTTAAACATTTGGGACATCATTTTTACGTTCAGAATATTCTGAGAGTTATCTAGTAATGCAGATCAGGAGGTGGGGCACAAAGCGTAGTGCCAGTCCCTTATAGATAAATATTCAGCTGACCAGGAAAAACACGACTTTTGTCTTAAAACGCCATCCGGGGCTTTCTGCAGCAGTTGACACTCACAGTTCCCCTCGAAGTCAACAGGAGTGATTCTTCTTCAGCACAACAGTCTCAGTAAAATGTGTGACAGTCTCTGTGGGCAACGTACAAAACCCCATTCCCTTTAAGATTGCTTAGGACAGATTTTGTGTAGCGTGTCTTTTGTGTAGTGTGTATTTGGGAGGGGCAGGAACATTATTTGTATTTTAGCAGCAGCAAAAATTAGGCTGATTTTCAGCTCAGAGGAAAGAACACAAGGTGTCTTTGGCCCCCAGTGCAGGGAATCTTCCCCTGGAAAATTCATTCTGTGTCCTGGCTACTTACTTACTGATGTGCCAGTCAGAAAATGTGATGAAAGCTGGGCACAGAATGATAACCTGAGAACAGAGAAGGCTGGGTACAAAGAACGGTGAGTTGCAGGGGGTAGGTGGTTGCTTTCCAGAGGTGCTGAACCCAGCACACAGACTGCCAGCCGGCCTGGCTGTGTTGCAAGCAAGACCTCAATGAGCCACTTTTGGTTGGAAAGCTGTCCTAAACTCTGGTGTATCATTGCTGGCATGCTCTGTCTTCCTCGGAAGAAAATCATTAAGACGTCTTTCTCTGCCACACATGGCTCACTTTAAATGAAAGTAGAAATGCTCACTGTGGAGTTTTCAGACACAATCTCAAACCAGATTAATACAGGTTTTGTACAAACTGTCTTGAACCCTAAGGTCAGGTTGCCACATCTTGTACTGCAAGTTCTGTCCTTGCGTGTGCAATCCAAGTGATGCACCTTGAGCTCCTATATATGTGTTAGCACTCTCTGCGTTTCTGGAGGGATGTGATCTGAATCCGTGCTTTTGTGGCTAAAAGCATTTGTTTGAGCAGTTGGTGAGGGGGATGTTCCTGTATCTACACAACACCCATACTGGCTGGTAGGGGCTGGAATTCCCAGAGAAGTGGAAAAATTTAATTTTTTAACTTCGTTATTTTTGATCCAGTTGCCCTGGGGGTCAAGCAGCCCCAAGGAAATGCCCACTGGGAACAGCCAATGAACTTACTGCTCAAGCAGACATCACAGCTTGCCAGGTAAGTTGAAGGACAGGGAAGAGATCAAGGATGTGAAGTAGTACTTTTTGCCTCTACTACCATGTATTTTGAATCATCTGATTTCAGGCCTCTTTGCAGATTTTGTAGTCTGCTTTGGAATTTTTCAGGAAATCCTTGCGTTGAGTTTGGCTCTAATTTGGCTCAGAGAAGGCAGGTTGTCCCTCCAGGTAGACAGCAAGCAGCACTCCCTCCATGCATTGTTTATGCCACTCACAGTAAAAAGTGTATGTTGGGACCGCTCAAGAGTACATAGGCCAGATTTTGAAAACGTTCCAATGTTCCATCCTTTCTTTCTAGCTCTTGAGCTGAGGATGTCTAAAACTGCAGTTTTACATTATTCATACAAAGAATATGTTTCTGTGGATCTGATGCTCTTTGTGATCTCACTGCAGGTTTGTCCCAATGGCTATCTCAGCCTAGAGAGTGGAGCTGGGTGCCGTGCGTGTCCAGATGGCTATTCATGCGATCCACGTAGTGGCGTGCAGAGGAGCTGTGGTCCTGGTCAGTATTCGCTGGAGGGAGAGTTGGAGTGTCAGGAATGTCCAGAGAGATATGTCTGCCCAGATGGACGGAGCAGACAGGTACTGAACGAGCATGTTACTCTCCAAGGGCAAATTTTCATTCTTCTGGACAGGCAGGGCCTGAACATGAATGTGTTGTCAGAAGAAGACAGGCTTCCCTGGTTTAATAGTAGGATACAGACTTTTCTTCATCAAAGAAAAGCATTCAAAACACTTCAGTGGTATAGTGGATCTAAGACCTTCCACAAGTGGCCTGTATTAAGAGAAATAAATATTTCTCATCTAAATTCTGAGAATGTTAGTGCTCAGGTTATCTGCCACCACTAAAACCCTCAGCTGAGGGCTCAGAGAAGCTTGGAGTTTGAAGTACCATTTTTGCTTCTAGAAATTGTCCCTGCAGAATAGAGCTGAAGCAGTGCTGGGAAGGCAGGAGAGGGCAGAGAAGGAGGAAGCATGAGATGGAATGCAGTACTGGGCTTTTTCCTGACTCGGGTTTGCCTGGGACACAGCTTTGGGCAGCAATGGCCATCAGACCTTCTGGTGGTATGAATTTGTGTTTCTTCCCCTTAGCGTTGTTTGGCCGGTCAGCAGCCAAATCCAAGCCGCACTCATTGTGTAACCTGCGCTCCTGGTTCTTTCTCAACTGAAGACACTCTCCTATGCCAGCCCTGCCCAGCAGGTAAGTACATCTCACAAGTGTCTTCTGTAGTCATTCAAACATAGAACTTAAGGCGGCTGAAATGACACTTTTCTCTGGTAAAACTTAGCTGGCAGTATTGGAACAGAGATAGGCTCCTTGTGTCACAGTAAAACTGGAGGTTAAAAAATAATTCCTGAGATAAAGCAGATGCCATTCTGAAGAGTTCATGAAAAGCAGAGAATGAAAATGAGAGAAGACTGAGAATCACAGTTGGTTTTGATAGTCATCGCACTTGCTGGATTTATGGGTGAGGCCCAGCTGATACAGCCTTGGGACATAAACTACTATGTCCAAATGTGCAAGTGTTGCTGAGTAACGAGGGAAGCTTTTGCTTCCTCTTCCCACACAGAAAGCAGCTCTCTCGCGCTGTGATTTTTAACTGATCATCTGTAGAACTGATTCGCACGCAGTTATAGCTTTCTCCACTTTAGGACCTCGATTCACTGGCCATCACAAATACCCATTTATAGTGGGTGCTGTAGGCATGAGGAATCAAATAAGGGCACGCTGTGGTTTTCTTACCCAATTTCTCTTTGTGCTTGATACTCTCAAAGAAATCCAAATAAGCCCACGTTTAGGAATTTGCAGTGTGTTGTCTTTGGGGCTGTCACAAATTCCTCACTGAGATGCTGATGCAGAATTAGGAAGCAGGGGAACAGACTAGGAGGGACTAGGGTTTTGTTGCAAAACAATTAACTTTGAAATTGACAGGTGTGGAATGTCATTTCATGTGATTAATTAGCCAAAAACATCCATCAAAGGAAATGGAGTAACTTGGGAAGCCACCTTAAGGTACATTCTGTGAGTGTTTGCTATTTGGGAATAATCCCGATACAGCAACCCAAACCTTTGTATTTGCCCAGGCGGTAACCTGCCACTCTTCAGTGAGAGTGCAGGTTAAGCTGTTCTAGTACTGAATGGCCACTTGGTATAGTTTCCCCATAAAGAGAGAGTTTTCTGCAGCATTAAAATCCTGGCATGTGCCTTATACATCCCAGAGAATGAGTATAAGCCTAGTGAGGATTTGGTAGCCCAAGGTTAGCTTTCTGTTGCGCTTGTTTCCTGTGATAAGATGTGGTGCTTTGTTATCCCTCTGAGGCCCTCCGGGTGAACTCTTTTCCATTCTATAATACAGTACTTGGTAATAGGAAAAGTTTGGTGCTGCAGGTAGGAGCGATATTACCAATAATTCCCTCCACATGCCCTCAGACTTTAATTCATGTTTCTTAGCCCACCTGAACCCTAGGAAAAACGCCTTATAGGGAGAGCATGGTGTAGCTGTCAATTTGTAAAAGGATATGTAATGTCACTACAGGAATGCAGTTTGCAAGCTGCAGTCCTACCAAGCTTTTCTCCCTCCTGTAAGCCCTGTACTGCATGTGAAGATGAACTATTTAATGAACAGCTCCAGGTGCCTCCTGCAGAGTTACTAAACTCAGTAACTTGATTCTTATGTCTGTAATTAGAATCCCTCTTACTAAATAATGAAGAGTTCCTGTACTCTGGGTACCTTATGCGTTGTCCAGTAGAAGGAGAAACGGAGTACCTAAAAAGAGATCGTGCCTAGACCATGATCTCGGTAGTTTCAATCCAGTTATAATACATAGGTGAGAGAATAGAACAGAGAATTTCTCTTATTTCCAGTGCTTGGGTTTAGGTATGAATAGCAAATAATTTTTCTCTCGCAAGGTCAGTCACACATGGGAAGTAATGGTGGTTTGTGGATGCTTATCATATTACACTTATGATTTGCTGTGCTCTATAGAGGGCCAGGGAACTAACTGAGGCTCTGTAAAAAAAAAAAAATAAAAAAAATCAGGAAACACTGGCTTTTTTGCACTTAACCAAGTATTTATAAATTGTACTTACCAAATGCTTGAACAAGTGAACAGACACGGGCGTGTTACAGCATGGAGTTTAGAATGACATATTTGCTACTGTATTATTATTGTTTATAGTGCAAGATCAGCCAAAAGCTGCAGTCAGGTTTCACCTCCATCAACCACAAAACCTGGAGAGAGCAAGTGAAAATCTCCAAGTAGATGATCAACAGGTTAAATATATGCAGAGTATCTCATGCTGAAATTCAATGCTTCCGTGTTAAAATTAGTCCCGCTTGTGTTCTTAAGTATGAATAAGTCATCCAGCCCAACTGCAAAGCCCTTAGATGATAAGAAGTTTGAATACCGTCACAAGCAGGAGAGGCTTGAGGATTCCCAGCGTTCTTTTTCACGGTTTGACTGACTTTAATTATATATAATCTGTGTACTTAGTATTGCGTGCATGTGAATGAAGCATCATTGCTATGCTGATACATAGCAATATATTTCAACACAGCAGTGGCAAGTCCGTGCCACACAGTTAAATCTTGCCCGCCCGCCCCCCCGCCACTCTTCAAATATCCATCTGGAGATTAGTAAACCACTTGATAATCAAGTTCTACAAAATCTTAAGTTGGAAGGAATAATTCATTCTAGCTGGATAGGAGCATTTCATTGCTAAATGTGCAACTGGCAGAAGAATTTTAAGATGGTGTATTGAACTGGGGAGGCCAATGTTGTCCTTAAAGCAGTAGCAGGAATACTTTGGCTCGTCTTTTAAACTCCATGGTCTTGAAGAGAGCAGAAGAGTTGGAGTAGCAAGAGAGAACAAGTAACTCTTAACAATGCTAACTAATAAAACTAACTTGGATATTTAGCTTGAAATTTCATTGTATGTTTTGAATTTAAAAATGCCGTGACATATTAAACATTTGAATTTTCTCTGCCAACTCAGTTTTATAAAAGGAAGAAACATTTTTAGATGGGAAATTAATGAGAATTTATTTTTCAAACCTTGTCAGAATTTCCAAACCTGAAAGATTTGGGCTATCTGTAATGTGCTGATTTTAAATAAAGTGACCTGCTGTTTTCTTCCATTGATTGTGTCCAGGCATCTCTGCTTATATTGCAGAATCAAGCAATTTATAGTCTTCACAGCACCTTTGTTTGTATTCCTGAAATGAAAATGTTTTTGGAAAAAAACCCAGTCAATCATTTAAATGACAGCCTTCAACAAACAAGAGCTGACTGAAATGCTATGGAAATTCTAGATCTCAAGGAAAATGTTCATTCAAAATTAAGCAAACCCAGAAAAAAATGTAAAATTCCAAAATGCCCCCCCCCCTTTTTTTTTTTTTTTTTGCAACTTACCAGAAATGCTTAAAATGATTTGCAAACTTGAATATTTGAAGTTTGAAAATGTTACTGACTTTCAGAACTTTGTTTTCATTTTCTGTTGGCTAGCTTTAGTAGAAAGCAATGCTCCCGGACTTCTGCCCTGTGTTTCTTCAGCTTTGTCTTTTCTCAGTGTAAACACAGCAAAACCCTTTGTCTGTCTAATGCAGCGACCTTTTGAAAGTTCAAGTGCTTCAAACATCATAAATTGTCTTTTCTGGAGCAGGTTCCCTTGCTTCTTCCAGATAGCCCTTGTCCCCAGTGCAGGACAATTTAGTTGCTGACATATATTGACTTAGTAAAAGGTTTGGAATTGGAGGGACAGACAGACATGAATGGGTGAGGCTTATCCATCTTTGACTTCACCTATTACTTGATTTTGCTTACTGCTGTGAAAGACTTTTTTGAAACGCAGCCTACTAGAATGGCCTCCTCTCCGTTCCTTTAAATGGTTCTGGCATCTTACTACCATTAGGTGTAAAACGCTGTTAATGTGTAGGTAAAGAAAGTGCACTTACCGGCCAGCCATCCTGTGCAGGTTCTAGGCTGTTTTCATCAGTAGTGGACCAGCTTACCAGGGACCATCCTGGACTTTGCTGCTTTTGAGCACACGAAGCTTAAACAGCCTCTGGGAAACTGTGTAGTGCTGTATCGCCAAACACATATTTTATTTTAGGACACTACTACCATCTTAGCTTTGCCTTGAGCTTGTGCTAATGAATCTTTTTAATTGGACAGTGTCTTAGCCTAGACTGAATAGCATGCTGACACAACTGGTTCCCCTGTTTTTACTTTGGAGGTGGTTTGTATCCTGCCGGATCAGAGCACATTCATGTCTGCCTTCAGGGTGCAAGGTTCATACACCCTGATATGATTTAGCCAGCAAATATTTGTGCTTTCCCGTTTTTCCCCACAACACGCACACACGTGTCAGCATGCAAGAGACCCATCGCCACTCTACTCTAAATCCAAGTTGTCCAGAATGTCATTTCTGAACCAGATATTTTCTTCTTCTCTATAGGTCACTTCTGTTCCAATGGCCTTGCAGTCCCTCCATGCGCAGCAGGGAGTTTCAAGCCCAAAGAGGGACTTCATACACCCAGCAGCAGCTCCTCGTGCTTGCCAGGTCTGTACCATGAAAGATCTTCATTTTGGACAGTGGGGGTAATAATTCTCACTGTAAATCACATTGTTAAGTACATTCTCACAAAGGGGCTGGCAGTTACAGTACTTATTTACTAATCTCTGGCTCGGGCAGTACTAGAGCTGGATGAAAGGAACACCTGTGCAATCTCCTATGAGTCACCAGACTTGTGTTGAAGCATTCAGGAATTACAAAGCTGTTGCATCCAGAGGTGCTTACTATCCACTTATTTCATTGGGACTGCCTTTATGGGTATGGACCCTGGTATTTAGATATCTGCCCTACGCAGAGATTTCAAAGAAGTTGCAATGGAGGGAAAAGGTGGTTACTGTACTTTTGGTAGAAGGAAAGAAAGTCAAGGAGCAATTTGAAATTATGTGCTAAAGTCATCCAACAGGTCAGTTGTGAAGCCGAAGTCAGCAACTGGCCTGCTGTTAAAGCTTAAGGAAGAAACTTTTTATGATGAGGGTGGTGAAACACTGGCACAGGTTGCCCAGAGAGAGGTGGTAGATGCCCCATTCCTGGAAACATTCAAGGTCAGGTTGGACGGGGCTCTGAGCAACCTGATCTAGTTGAAGATGTCCCTGCTCATTGCAGGGGGGTTTGGACTAGGTGACCTTTAAAGGTCCCTTCCAACCCAGACCGTTCTATGATTCTTATTCAATGCGTCAGCTTTGCATGCGGGACACTTTTTAGCACTGTTAGTCAACTTTGAGGAGATGTGCTATGCTGTAACACAGTCTCACTTTCAAGCTCTTTTATGAGTGGAACAGAGGAGTAACATAATTGAAGTAAGTTGACCATACATATTCTCTTTGGGAAAGGGGTTCTTTCTTTGTATGTGTTTGAATCAATCACAATAGTCCCTGGCCCGCTTTTGCAGCAAGGGGAAATTGGGTTACAGATTAGGCAAAACTTTTTTTATTATAACAGTAAAAAAGCACTGGAATTTATACTTTCAGAAGCTGTAGAAGCCCTGCCCTTAAGAGTTTTTCAAGTGCTAAGTAGATGAAGCAGCGTGTAATGTTCTGAAATGCATGCAAGGAGGTAGGCACAAGGCTTCCACAGATTTCCAGCTCTATTTTCTGTGATGTTTCCTTCTAAATATTTTTGGTTTGATTTGGTTTTCTAAATCAGTAGAACTTAGTTTTGCATGTGGTAGGGCTGAGTCACACTAATGATTGGGAAACCTGTTGGAAGTGACTAGATTTTGCAATTTAGTAATGGATAAATTAATTTAAAAGGACATAATAATAGAGCTTTGCTAAAGTCTTCTCTGCTGCTAAATCTTTGCTTAGACAGGGAGAGGGAGACCTGGCTTTCTGCTACAGTAATCACATGTTGCTGAGGCCAGCTCTATCTGTTTTTGAACATTTCCGATATCTCCGTGTGTCTCTCAGTGGTATAAAAAAACTGCCTCTCTCTCCTTAACAGTGCTATACAAATGGGAAAATAGAGTCGGGGGAGATTCAGGGAATGAGCTTGGTTCACTAAAGTAAACTTTGGCCCAAGTCCAGAACGTTTTGTCCAGGGTCACAAATCACCAGGTGCACTGCTGGGAGCAGAAACCTAGAGCTCAGTTGCTCAGTCCCCCTTTACATCTACTGGGCTCTTCCCCTCAGAGAGGTAAATGTGCTAAGAAAATAATTATCTCCTTCAAATCAAGCCATACATTTTTCTATTTGATCATTTCTTTTCTAGCGAATGACTCAGCTGCTAAAGCGTCTTGACTGTTGAATGATTTTTTTTTTTTACTCACCAGCTAAGTCTAGGAAATTGCTGCTTTCCGCCCACTTCTGAAATTAAAACCAGAAGTGCATTTACATGGTGCAGCAAGGAACAAACCTCACACCTCATCAAGACAGCAAAATTCAAGAGACAGGGCCAGCGGCACCCGAACAAATGCTGTAGAAGCTGCAGAGTAAATTAGAGTTTAAAAACTCTTTCAGTTTAATAATGTAAGCTGTTACGCTATGCCTGTACTGCTTTATATAATGATGTTGTCAACTCTCCTAAGGAACACTTGGCAAAGGTAGGACAACGCCTGCTGCAAAATAGGCAGGGGACACGTGAATAAATGGTGACAAGCCATAACAGATTTCAAGTATACTACCATGAGGGAGATATGGCTCGTGTGGTATTAGCCTGTGTCCACCATCTGCAGTACAGCGTGTGAAGTGTGACATACCCCTCAGTGAAACCAACTTTGCCTGCATCACATCTATTGCACAGCAAGTACATGGACTAGGCTGGTCCTGCAGAATAGATAATATGCTGTAAATCTGTGCCCTCATTGATCTGCTATAAAACGTCCAGGCAGCCACGCTATTAAGTCCGTTCTAAACTCCAAAGGGAAGCATCATCTCCAGAAAGTCAGGCAAGAACTGGAAATTTTATGTCCCTGTAGTCAAGTCACATAGATTCTGGTTATATAAAATGCCAGTCCCGCTGGATTTGCTGGGGGTGCAAATCCACATCATGAAGCTTTTGACAGCTTAAGGCAATTTTTAAAGAGTCCCACAACTCCATGAGGTTGCAGCCCCCCTCAGGTGTGTTGATTCAGTTGCTGTGCTCAGAGCTGTGGAATTTTATAGTTTTGAGAAATTCAAATCTTGTCGTACTGAGGTTTTTGAACCTTGTGTTCATCCATGCCATGTGCAGTAAATGTAAGGGGAAAATAATAAGCTTTTTCTGAGGGGTGGGAATGAGCAACTGGGTGGAAGGCAGGGGGAGAGATGACCCTTAAACTTGCTTTGCGCTCTGAGGAATCCTAATCTGGACCTGCACCATCAGTCCGTGGAGAGGAAAGCCTAGTAGATTTTAATAAATCCTGATCATTCTGGGGGTGCTGTAAGGCTCTATTCCAGCCTGCAGAGGCACATACACACTAGTGTATGCCTGAGCCTTGCCTTGACAAGCATTTGGAAGGGAGCCAGGGGTTCAACCTGGAAGTACTCCAGGGAGCCATTATCAGCAGCCAGAGTTTTCTCTTCCTCCTGAATTGCTCTGTTTGCTTTGTGCTGTTGAAAGGCCTGACTCAGGAGGATAGCAACTTCTCCTGGGCTAAGTTTGTGTTTCCTTTTCACCAAGTTAAACGTTTGGGGACATTTTGTAATGAAATACACTCTCTGAACGTGGTAACGCCAGTAAGGGATTGTTGTTTTATTATGTATTGATGTTACTAGTGTTCCTTTAAGTTACAATGCAAGCATCTTTTGTTTAACATGCGGGATTTTAGAGATGATCACGGCTTGAACTGGTTGTCATTCAAGCAGGTATCCATGTGTTTGTACTGAGAATATCTCCAGTCTGCGAAACCCGTTCATCTCTCTTTGTATTCAGAACGCAAACATGGAAACAGCTCAGCTTTCATGGAAACCCCAGGCTTTCTTTACAGTTGAGGCCTAAGCATTGTGATTATTAAACATACCTGCATCTGAGTGTGTTGTAAGGCTGATACTTTTGTTTATTTTTTAATGTATCTCATTCCGTGTATTATCAGCTCAGAGCACAGTCCAGATGGTTTTACCGCTTCCGTGAGCCACTCAACTGCAGTAACATTCAGCTAATCCAATACCACCACCTTCTGGCTTTGGAGTAACTTTATTGTTGGTATGAATGAACCTCCATCATACTTTCTTGCTGTAGGTGAAAGCAAAGGAATCGTATTTCATAGGACCCTCTGTTTTGTCAGCAGGTCACGCTCTCTTTGGGACCTTAAATGTCTTATCTCTCTTTAGGAATTGGATTGTGTTTGAAGTGCCCTGCTGGGTATTTCTGTCCTGCTGGAGCAAGTTATCCAGTCCCATGCCAGCCAGGTACATACAATCCTCTCCAAGGACAGGATGAAGCTGCTGATTGCAGAGCCTGCCCAGCAGGGAGAGCTTGTACTCAGGCTGGCTTAGCCCAGCCTGATGCAGAGTGCTTACCAGGGTAAGCCTTGTTGTTTTCTGTGCTTCTATCTGTGTCTGTGCATATATTTCACCTCTGTTGTTTTTGCTTTGTGCATAGGGCTGTGCAGGTGGCATCCTTTGCTATGTCAAGATTTTATTGCAGTTTCTGGTAAATCGGTGTGGCATAGACTGTTCTGGTGGAAGGCACTGCTGCCTGCTATTGCGACAGGATAGGTGGTAAAAAGAGACAAGAATGAAGCTGGGCCACACGTCCCATGGTTATGAACAAAGCGACCTGGCTGAATAACCTGCTTTTCTTTTGGTGAAAAATGTATGACAAAACTAGTCCACTTACAGTGTTTCATTTTTGGTATTTCTGCATTATCAGTTTTCAGTTACATTGCTGTCAGCCACAGCATCAAGTGCTTCAGCTTTTTCCCAGCTGCAGCATTCATCCTAATATTATGGTAGGGCACAGAGTTTGTCTCCCTCTTGCATCAAAACATTTGTCCCAGCTAGCCTGCTGTGTTCTGTTAGGTATGTGTGCCCAGCGGGGTCATCCAGCCCTCATTTTCCCAGCAACGCCTGTCCTCCAGGAACATTTGGCAATGACTTCAGCCTCTTTGATAAGTCCCAGTGTGAAACGTGCCCCGCTGGATTCGTCTGTGTGAGAGGTAGGTGGCTTTATGATAAAGTGAACTGTGTTCTTTGGTACCCCTTATCACAGAGCCCACTAGTAAGTACTACACTAGGTCAGTGAGGTATCACAATGATGGTAAATGGGAAGAAGTTGCCCTGCAGAGACTGCTGTGCCCACTGGATAAGTTGATTTTAATCTTACTCTGAAATTTCTTCTTTATGCCACCCATGATTACTGTTTTAACTTCATGACCTGGAAGCAGCCAGTTTTTACAGTCTTCAAAATTTTTAGCTTATTGATGGCTTCTTCACTTTAATGTCTATGCTAGCTTTGGACAGGGGCACCATGCAGGATACTTGAGTAGAAGAATAATTGCTTTAGTAACCGGTTCTGTGATAGAGCCTCTCATCGACAGAGGAAGTAATTATTGTTATTAAGGCACAAAGGCACAAAATGAGGAGAAGACTTAACTTGGGGTTATCCAGCAGTGCTGAAAACAGAATGAGGGAACTGAATTGTGTGAAGCCAGTATGCTACCTATTAGCCTACATTGCTTCTCTTAAATTTGTCATTGTGTTTACAGGAACAGGTGGGAAACAGAAGCCTCCCACTCCATGCCCAGTTGGTCACTACTGCCCACCAGGCACAAAGCACCCAATGCAGCACAAGTGTGCCCCAGGCACCTGGAGCAATAGGACAAGCCTGACCTCGGAAGAGGAGTGCTTTCCGTGCCCTGCCGGCTGGTTTTGTGTAGGAGGAGCCCCTGTCCCTACTGGGATGTGCAGCTCAGGGCACTACTGCCCTCAAGGTAGGCAGCTTTTTGCAGGAATGAAGGAGGTTTAGTTTATTTCTGTCTTCAGAAACTTTATCAGCGTTATTTTTTGCATCAAAGTATTTCAGTGTGGAGCTGGATAGCAAACTGTCCATTCTGTATAGTCATACTTTAAATCTATACGGTTTGAACTGAGCATGTTGGTGCCATTATTTTTTTTTCCCTTAATTTGCAAAGAATTAAAATGCACAATCAAGTGTCTGGTACAAGCCCAATTCTAAATTTGAAACTTTCTGCAAAGATTCTGCGGTATGTACTAAATTATGATATTTTTTGTTGTTGTTCTCAGCACTGTGAGCAGTCATTTTTATATATATGAATATGTATTTACATGTAACTCATGTACATACTTAATAGCAATGAAGAACAGGGGGCTGTATTAAGAATTAGCATAGTTCTCTCCTCTTTTTTTTGGAAAGGTACGTGGAGGGGCACACAGTACCCCTGTCCTGCAGGAACTTACAGTACCAGGCTGGGAAATGGCAGAGTGGAAGATTGTGCTGCCTGCCCCGCAGGAGCTTTCTGCACCAGTGGGACCTCCAAGCCAGTTCTATGTCCAGTGTAAGTACACTACACATGCTGCAGTAGTTGTGCAGGTACAAAAGAAAATATTTCTACACAGCATTTCAGAACATTTCTGATTTTAAGTAATACCTTTCTGCACCAGAAATGTGAGTTCCTTTCACCTTGCTTGTTACTGGGTGGTCCAGGCAAGTTTCTTCTGAATCGGGCAGTTTCTTGGCTCCAGAAACACTAGATTTCCTCTATACCAAAGACTGAGAATGCAGACCAGAGGTGCACTGTCCTTTTCTTGGTCACTTTGCTGCTGTTTGTGACTCTCCCTTCTGCTGTATTTTCTCCTGCAGAGGAACTTATCGCATGGAACATGCCGCAAAAGTGGCTGCAGACTGCATCCCTTGTCCTGGAGGGTATTACTGCCCTGAGCTTGGCACTGTTACTCCTCAAACATGTGGTGCTGGCAACTTTTCAGTAAGTAGCAATAATTTTATCCTGTCATCTGTTCAGTGTAAGGACTGAATTTTGGCAGAAAAGGAAGCTTCAAGGGGAGGTTGAGGCTTTGAGTGCCTCAGAGAAGGAGCCCATCTCCTTGCATGATGAGTCTGAGTATTTGGGGTGATTGTGTACTGTGCTTCAAATAATAGCAGCCACCTGTGCTGACCCTACAAGTAAGGAGTGAAAGCGCTAGTCCAGAGAAGTCACTGGGAATATTCCTATGCAATCAGGTTTGGAGCTGCTCCAGACATGATGCTAGAAGTATTTATCACATGTGCAATACTGGTCCTGCTGTTATTCCCACACCAGAGGCTTGCAGTAGCACTCCAAGTACATCTGTCACATGTCTGGCCATAGGTAGTTGGGTAGATACTTTGGGGTTTTGTGATGTATTTTACCCTGGCAGAGAGCGGACACCTGTATTTAATTCCTGCTCAAAAGGAAGTATTTGATTGCAATGGAGCTAGACTATCACTTGGCTTTGGAAGGTAGAACAACAAGATGGAGCTACAGAGGGGAACAGTGATGGCACAACTATTCTCACAAGCAGGTGCTAAGGCCTGTTTCTTTTTTATTTGCCCCAAAACTGTAATGAATAATTCTAGTGGTAATTGCCACGTTTCCCCATTGATGGGAAATGGGCTTGTCACTCCTGTCAAATGATCCCAGTATCCCTGTCCAGGCAAGTTCTCTATCGCTGCATGAATTTGGTAGTTATCACTGGAACCCTTAATTAAGTTTGGAGTGGAGGTAAATGGAGATTTATGTATGGCAAATAGACCTAGATTATTTTTTGTTTGCACTTTAGAGTTCAGTGTAACAAAGAAAGATGAGGGAACGTGTCTGTGTTTTTCTCTGCTCCTGCTGGTAAAGGGTGTTGGGTTGACTGTTCTGAGGATCAGAACTTTTTGTATGGATAATCCACAGGCAGTGACGGGGCCTGCTTCTTATTTGTGAAACACGGGCTTTCTTGCCTGCGTGGTGAATACACTGAATTGCATGCTGTTTGTTGTTCATAGGTTAGGTTAGGTGGAATTTTTAAAGGAAGCTCTTTGTGCTTCCGGTAGCATTACTGAACATAACAGGGAATGTTTTATAAGAGCAGGGTCCTGTCATTGGCTCCCGAGGGCAATGTCTTTGCTCAGTGGCCGCGTTTTTGTGGACTGTTTTTGTTTACTGATAGGGTCTGCTGTAGAGTTGGTTGCATTCGTTTCCTTTGTTCTGTGCCTCAACACAGCTTGCCAAATGTGCAAGGATTCTTTTGCTCTCTAGAAGTGGAACCATGTGCCTTTCATGTTGTAGGACCAAGGTTCAGCCTCCTGCTTGCCGTGTCTTGTTGGACATTACTGTGCTAGTGAGAACACTAGCCGGGAAGTGATGCTCCTTGCTATGATTTGCCCAGCGGGTCTCCTGTGCCCAGAAGGACAGGCAGTTGTTCCTGATGCCAGTGCAAATGCCTGCCCAAGAGGATACTACTGTCCTCAGGGAGATACTGTAAGTGAATCTGCTTTGGTCCTTGGGATTCACTGTTCTCTCATCAAGTCGGCTGTACAGTTACAGTCTGCACTGGGATTGGGATTAGTCTTGCTATGGGAGCCTTTCCTAATAATTTTTTTTTTTACTGATTTCTGTACTCTTCTGGTGTTCGCAGATCTTAGCAGTATTTGCCCTACATAAAACTGTTCATAATATTGGGATAACGTTTTCTGAGATGGTGTATTCAATACAGAGGATTGGATCCGCGTTCTATTATACCATCTTGTCAGCATTCACACCAGATTCCTAGTGTTGCTTTTCAGTGTTTGTTCCCAGTTACGGGGAAGGATTATTTTCACAGCTTCAGCTTCTGGGTGTTTGGCTTGTGGGATGCAGCAGTCATAGTAGTATGTTGAAGACCCATTTTTCTATTTCATTTCAAGGGCTTGCATGCTAAGCCTTGCCCCAGCGGGACCTATGGTGAGCAGAAGGGTCTAAGCAGTGCTGATGAATGCCTACTGTGCCCTGCAGGGAAGTACTGCTACAGAGATGGGATTGAGCCTCTAGGAATTCCCCACCCTGTAAGTATAGCCCAGGTTCTCCTGCCTTTCCCGCCCCACCCCCCCCCAC